GAGGGGTTCGTCGAACGCATCTGACATTGATCATTTCGATCCTTCAGTCAATGGATCACAAACCAACGATTCCGGGTGAGCTCCAATATAGCTGACGGCCCACCGAGACAGCACCAGCGGAGTGCATGCAATTCTGGCATTTTTTATCAACAGAAGACGGCCAAATCCAACGCATTAGCTCATTTTCTTCGGGTCAAGGTATATGCGGGATATTACCATTAGTCGAGAGGAAGATGTTGCATGGATACCCAGGTGCGATTTGCTGCAAAATGTTGCAGTTGGAAGGAAAGCGACGAGGAAATCTACAGCGTAAAAAAAGCGCTGGGCTCAATGAAAGAGTATTGTTCAAGCAGCGTATCATACACTACATCAGTCTTGACTGGTTCCTTTCAATGCGTATAGTTGGCCTGTGAATGTGACTAATGTTCGTGACGATGATTGACCAACACATCTCACAAAAATTAGCCGCAAGGTACCAGCCAAACCTGGCCGTTCCTCTTCCCAGCGCCAGTGGCTTGTGTTGGCCATAAACTTTCAGCCATCACAACTCTCACCTCAACGGGTGCGAGTGCGAGTATGTGCCGGGTGTGACCATTTTTGTGGAAAGCTACAAGACGAACAACATGTGAGAGGCCAGATGGAAGCACACGTAGTACTTTAATTCAACGTCTAGCTGTGACCGTCCCCTTTTCATAAGGTAGATGAATAGATACATTCGCACACCCAAGTTGCAGACTTTATCCTTTCCCATTGCTCCAAAATACTCAAACATGTCATATAAAGTTTGTTCCCTCCCGGGTCTGATATCAAGGTATCGAAAAACACTTCACCCTCGGCCTCGGAAGATTTCCAAGCCTTGGATGTTCCCACCGCGCTGGCATCCACAGGCATTATAAAGATATGGCGAGTGCTTGGGAAGAGGCAGCTCCATGGCGAGCCGAAGAGCTCAATTTTGAAATGAATACTCTTCGGAGACTCGGTGAAGCTGCCTCGTTCCCGTAGCCCTCCCTCGAAGAGACCGATCCGCCTAGATTCGGTCCTGGAAGGGGTTGCCGGCGCCGGGGGCGGACTGGCCCGAGGCGTTACGGATGAGGGGCTGGCGCTGAGCAGCGCGCTGCTTCTTTGTGGCGGCACGGGCCAGGGCGACGGCCTCAGACTTGGCGACGAGACGCTTCTGCTCCTTGCGGTCGCGGCAGCACATGAAGGTGAGGTAGCCGAGCATAAGAGCGGCTGAAGCAGCGAAGACGATGGCGATGATGATACCAGCGGTATCCATCTCCTTCTTGGTCATGCAAATATCATCGGCGGAAGAATCGGTTGTGCAAATGACCTCGTCGCGGCACGAGCTGGTGCTGATCTCAGTGCTGTAGCAAGTGGCGGTCTTGGTCTTATCCGAGACGGTCTCGAGATCGCACTGCTCGGTACTCTTCTTGAAGGTGGTGTAGCAGTCGGTTCCTCTCGAGGTATCGGCACGCTTCTTGAGCTCACCAGTGGCCTTGGGGCCGTCAGTAATGGCAGCGGCGGCTTCGACGCGGGGGATGATGGCTGGCATGGGAGCGGCCTCGAAGCGCTTCTTGAGCTCGCCGGCTTTGGCGATCTCGGAGCATCGCTCGAAGGTGTAGTGAGCCTCCTTGGCGGCGGCGTCGGAGGAGCAGCCGGCAGAGGTGTAGCAGGCCTTGAGGGCGGCCTCGTCGGTTTCCTTGAGGTTGGCGAGGCAGTAGGAGAGAGCGCCCTTGTTGGCGCAGTCAGCAAAGGCTGCGAGGTCCTCGTGGTGGTTAGCGAGACACTCTTGCTGGACAGCGGCAAGGGCGTTGCCAGCGAAGAGAATGGCGGTTGAGAAGCGCATGATGAACGGGTTCAACGGTTTTTTTCGTTATTCTTGTTTTTTTTGGAGATTAGGTTTCGATCGAGAGGATGCCCAGCAAGCTCTGTAATTTCTGTTGTCGAATACGAATTGGGCGCCTGAAACCAAGACACGCTCAATCCAAAAAGGGGAGAGAGGATGAATTTGGGGGAGGGTGGGTTTGTTTGGTGGTTTTGAGGGGGAATGATAGGATAGGATAGGGAAGAAAAAAAGAGGATCGAAGAAACAAGGAGAGGGAGCAAGCGAAACGAAGCGAATGGGATGGGAAATGGAAGGGATTATCCGTCCGTTTCTTTTTGGGCTGAACCTTGGTTTCTCTGGGTGAGGGAGGGTCGGTCCTTGGAAATGGAGCAAAAAAAATAAGAGGCAGAGGCAGTGAGAGTGAGTGAGAGAGGCAGGGGATATGAGGCGGTCTTCGGGCTGGCTGGCAGTGCTTACTGGCCACTGGCAAAGCTGGCACCAAACAAGTCCATGTTACAGGCTCTTATTATTATTATGGGGATCTTTAGAGCGTTGCTTGTGCTAAAAAAAGGGGAGATGAGGAGACGGATCCTTTCTAGACGGGGGTGAGAGGCCTTGAGCCACAATCGACTATGCCTGAAAGGGAATAGGACATGAGAAGAGATTGAGGGTCCTGGTCTTGTTCTTTGTTTCGCAGATGTGAGTGTTCTGTTAAGGTTTGGGTATAGAACTGGTGATGTTGCTAACTACCTAGTTGAAGTGGTAAGGTCTATGCCGTCGAGTCCATCGAGAACGGATCTCATCAATCTCCATGCCAAGGCGTGCCCATGATGACGGCTGATGCTGATACTTTTGCTGATGATGCAGGATCACAGGTGGGAACTTATTAGCTAAACTCGCTACTTAGCCAGCACTGGAGCTGGCTGGGCTGAGCTGCATTCAAGACAAAGACAAACATCATCAAAGAGAATCAGGACATGCTTACATACATACATTGCTATGAGAACAATCTTATTTCTACAGTAAATCTGTCTAAAGTGCCACAGGAAGTTGTTACTGTCGTTCAACTACTGCTGACATGCTGAAACTTGGACTCTCGGTGTCTCCTTGCGCAAACCAACCAACCCACCTACGTAAGCCCAAGCCTTGCCATGTCTTCCCGCAAGCGCTGATTGAAGTGGCTGAAAGAGCGGATAACAGCACAGCACATCTGGCTGGCAAGGATGGCGGTGCAGCGGCCAATCGACGCCAAATTTTGGACATCTGGTGCAACGCCGGTTGTGGGGTGAAGCATCAAGGAGAGTGACATTTCGATTGACTTCATTTGTTGCAATTGCCATGTGTTTGTGTGTATGTTGGCGAAACAGTACTAAGGTATAGAATACGGACTACAGACTGGAGAAACACGTTTCTGGACAGAAAAAGAAGAGATGTTGTATAAGCGGTCAATACCCTGAGCTTACACTGCCTCTGACTCTGCTTACATGGATTCGTAGGCGTTATGCAGCTGAGATGGACCCTGTCGCGCATCCCGACGCCGTCAAATACCTGCATCTCACTACCAGATGGCTGGCCAAGTAGTAGGCAGGAGAGAGGCAAAAGGAAGGAATATCTCATAATTGTCCATCACCATACAAACAGCACTCTGAGGTTATCCCAAGTTTTGATCAATCACCACCTGTCGGCATATCATCATGAGCTAAGGGTCTATTGAGCAATGCTGGAAAGCTTATATATGAGCAAAGCTAACAAGCATTTGATCTTGTCGTAAGCAATTCGAGGATCTGGTTCTGTATCATAACAAATCTTGTGCCCGCAAACAGAACATCCTGATCCTCTCCGCCTTCATCGCGTTATCTCGTCGGGATGTCCCGAATCAACCATAACTCGCTAAGGATACAGGTGATGTTCAGGGGCTGAAAATGCCGAGCAGCACTTGTAGTGGTCAGTGCCCTCCACTCTGTATGTGCCTGAGATTGACAGAAAAGCATAATTCAAATGCCAAGACACATCACTCGTCAATCATTTCAACAGCAAATAACATAAATAAAGATTAAATTAAAAATGTCCGAGATCTTGATCGTGTTCCCCCCTCTTTCACACGCACGTCATGTTTTGTCCCTTGAGTAACCGACGCGTAGCCAATCGAACTGAATCTGGGGATTAGCCATGTGAGTCTACGTCATCAACTTTGGCGTGAGCTTCCTGCTTTTGCCTCGTACCTATGTAATGCAATGATTGCACGCAAGCTTTATGTATAAAAGGGAGCAACTGACTCTTTGATCTTCTTTCTTCTGCACCGTAGACTTGACTACATTCATCGAACCATCTACTACTACCTTACTCTCACGCAAAACAGATACAACGCCCATCATGCCTCTTGTCGTTCCTGGTATCAACTCAACATCCGGCGATAAGGCCGAGGAGTGGCAGAACAAGCTTGTAGGCAAGAAGCTCTCCGACGAAGAGACATCGACCGAGACTGTATGTTGGCCACGAATTATCGTGAGGTTATATAAACACGCTGCTAACACTGACGAACAGGTCTTTGCTAAGCGAGACCTCCCCCAGGAGACACGCATCATCGAGCCTGGAATGATGGTCACAAAGGACTTCAAGGAGGATAGACTCAACGTTCACCTCAAGGATGACGGAACTGTTTCACATGTCGTCAAGGGCTGATCTGGCGGTGTTTGGTTGACTTGGCCCCTCCAACAAAAGGAGGGGCATTGTTTATGTACGATAATGATGGGAACAGGATTCGTCTGCAATGGCGAAGGCGCAAGAGAATAACAGGATCATGGATTTCCCTTGTAACATGTCCGCTGTGTCTATTAATTGTGATCGCTTGTTCCAGTTGTGATGGCACCTATTTTGTAGACTTTGGTGCTGTGCCTCTGTTATTGCATCTCGAGATTTACCCCGCCACCGATGCCGCGGGGCACTTGTCGACTTGACTTTTCCATATCAAAAGAACCCCACCAAGACACGATACGACCCGACACGCCACGACAAGTTCAGCTTCTCTACCATCCATCCTCTATTTATTTGTTCTGTACAACACATAGCTCAACTCTAGTATTAGATTCACTTCGGCACTGCCGTTAAACCACCACAATGTTCAAGAAAGAGTACATTCCCCCGCCATGAAACCTCTCAAAGCTCTCATCTAACCATGACCAGAATCCAGGGCTCACCGAAGCAAAAGCTCAAATCGTCCGTCCAGCGCTCCCTTCGCCAGGGCCTTCTCGACACATACCCTCTTCTCAACCCCTACATCGACGAGATCCTGCCCAAGAAGGCCTCCCTCTCAAGCATGAAGCTGACCGACCGTAACACCCTCTACGTTCTCGACTCGACACCTCTCTTCTACCAACAGGATCTCACTGGTATCCTCGTTCCCCACCTCCGCCTCGTACACCGTTTTCCTCAAGCGTTCCCAAGCATTCGTATAGACCGCGGTGCCATTCGCTTCGTCCTCTCAGGCGCTACCCTCATGGCCCCTGGCTTGACTTCCCCAGGAGGCAGACTGCCTGCTGATGGTGTCCCCGAGGGTCTACAAGAGGGCAAGGAGATGGAACAAAAGATGGACGAGGAGGGACGATGGACCAGGGAGCTTGTCAAGGGTGAGCCTGTGGTTGTCATAGCTGAGGGCAAGGAGGAGGCTTGCGCAGTGGGAACACTCGTCGTAGGAACCAAGGAGGTCAAGGCCAAGGGTAAAGGGCCCGTGATTGAGGACGCTCATTATTTGGGCGATGGACTGTGGAACTTGAGCACTGAGTAGAATGTGGTTTGGTGTTGGGGATCGGAGTAGGGTTTTGTGATACCAATGGACAAAGGGAAGTGGGAGAAACACAATTCAAAGCGGAGAGACATGAATGAGATGATCATGACTGGTTCAAATGTATTCTGGAAAACAAAAAAGGTCATAAATAGACTGGTACATCCTGGCTTTGGCAACGATTGAGTGCGTCATTTATACAGGACGTGGGAACTTTGCACTAATGGCGAAAGATTACCTGTCGCTCGACCATCTCTATCGCTGATAGAACACACAGAGAATCGCTCTCTTGGTACTAAGGAAGTGACCGGAGGTTAAGCTGATCTGCTTATGTTGACCTAGGCCTACGGTCGACATGGCATGTGGCGGGTGAAGATCGAAGCAAGGGCATTCTCTTTCGTGGCTGTGGAGAGCTCACATACACAAAGAAATGAGTCCGGTGCTTTTTAATGAGTTTTGTTATTCCCACAGCAATAACCGCGATTGATCTGCTGTCGCGTTGCGGTCAATCCATGAGACCTCCTACTATGCGACCTGCAGCTACGTCAACCTCATTCACAGCGACCACGTCTCAAATGATAGGAAAGAAGTGACCTTTCGTGTAAAATATCGATGGAGTCTTAGAATTGCACGCGGGAAAGAGCCTGGAGATAAGGCATTCGGTTATCTGGGGAAGTGTCAGTTTGGCTGCATGTAAGTCGTGCCATTGCCAAATGAAACCCGAGTATCAGGCCGCCAAAGGCTCGTAGATGACCTTCTCAATCGACCTGAAACCCTATACAGGCTTAATCACTTGTAAAATCCTTGAAGACAGTATCTCAAAGTCATTTTGCAACTTCGGTACCCGCATGTTACCTCATGTTCAGGTCTCCCGTTTTCGGATTCTTCGAACATTTGACGTCGATGTATATGGCAACTACAAACCTCATGAAGAACGATATGGGTGACTACAACTGAGAGTTAGTTCTGGTCAGCAGTACGAAGTCTTGATTGGTCAAGTGGGTATGCAGCGAGGTTTGCAGTTGAGCTTGAGTTGGTGATGTTCCTGTCGTGCCAGCTGAAAGGTCGGGACCAATTCTTAGTCCACAGCTATGATAAAAGGCAAAAGCTGAATAAAATGCGAATACATAGATTAAAAGGCTTTAGTCAATCTATATCAATGCCTTTAGTAGTTGTAATATGTCATCCGCAGAAGAATCTGGGGAGTATTCACAACTTCAGGAAGAATTTACATGAGAAACAATAGGTCCTTATTTGTACTTCAAAGAGTCGCTAGACGAGCCGTTTTAGGATAGATGAACCCTTTCATGACTTTTGATTCAAAAAATGTCTATGCTTGCTGGCCGATACAACTTCTTATTCACCTTTGGCACTCTGGTAAGTCCATCTCCAAATCACCCATCCAACAAATCCCAATCCTGTAATCCAATGGCCAGCAGCTTTATACCTCAACTCATCACCACCGTTCTTCCAGACTACAAACCCATCACCAAGTCTCACAATCGACAATATCGCCGAAAACGTCGTCACGGCGCTCTCATTGCCCTGATATTGCAGTGCCATCAACGTAAGACCGTATGATATCTCACGAAGACCCTTGAAATACATGAGCGGCGAAACAGAGCCACCTTCAGTGTTGATTTTGCCAGGTTCGAGAAGAAGACCGACATTGCCGTACTCCTTTCGTGGTGAGAGGAGAGCCATTATACCACGGCTGACACAGGCACCGCCGAGGATGTAGGGAGGAATGGACGAGAATGTTGTCATGTTCGGATGTGGTGAAATGCAGGTATCGCTTTCAGAGATAGGTCTGAGGATCCAATCAGGGACCTTGATAGTATGGGAATAGTCGAGGTTGAGAAGTTTAATTGCAGTTGGGTGAGATAAGAAGTCTAGGTATGGATGGAGTCTGCTTACGCATATACCTCATTCAGTTAGACTGCCACTATCTTGGGATATAGTCTGTCAACCTCGTTCTTAAACGTAAACTGCGTTTATGACTTTCTGAAAGCTGGATCATTGCTAAGTGTAATAAAGACATCTGTGATGCGCAAGAAACACCTTGTAAGTAAGGCATCGCCCAATCATCCAATAATTCTTCACTTTTTGCCTTCTGTGAAATCAAACTCTGACATGTCGGGCTCAAGCACTGTTAGAAGTGTTCTTGCGCTGAAGAAGAATTCTTCCCAGCTCTTGCGATCTTACAGCGTCCCAATTGCCCATCACAGCCCTCCAAGAGAGATATTGGGTGCTTCGATAGCCTGAGGGGCCCTGTTGGTCATGCAAAATGTCGATCCGGAGACCTCGGCGTGGCTTAGACATATGCATGTTCTTAATACTGGACGTGCCGGGTGCAACCAAACTGTTAATCCTATACTTAGTGACAACTTCTGATGTTGAACTCTCATTTAGGAGATGCTTTTGAAGGCATGAAAGATGCTAGAGAAGGTCAACATGTTTATGCCCAGATATCCAGGGGACTCTCTGACGGCATCAGCGGTTTCAGCTGTTGCAACCCAGGGCTATCAACTTGACCATGTTATTTTCTCGGCAAATATTCTTTGATGAGAGAAGTGAATCAACTGTCAGGATAGTAGACAGCTTCTTACAAAAAAGAGAAAATGATGACGACTGCAGCGGCGGCAAAACGACGCTCGTTGTTATCGAGGTCCCTTGCATTGTCCGGAGCCTACCCCAACTATTGCATCTTGTCCCATTGCAATGCCCAAATGCCACAATGATCGACTGTGATAATTGATCTCAAATGCCAAGAGATGTAACGTGCCTTTTGAATAAATCGTGTGCACTATGGTCTACCCCACGATTGGCGCGCTTTGGGTGTAAGTCTTTGCCACCGCCTGAGCGTAGATCATTCCCATCATGAAAGCAAGAATAAAGAATCGGCCAAGAGTTTATGTCGAGGACGATCTCACGAAGCGAGTATAGTTTTGTTGGATCGACACTATACGAGAGAAAAGAGAAGGAGAGGCGGCCTCTCAATTACGCTTCCAGGTGTGACTTTGATAGTTCTATATGCCGGGGCCAGTGTTGATGTGAAATTGGGGTAGAATCATTGTATGCGTCAAGGCCAGGCTGTGTGTTGAGCTCTGGAATACCTGACGATAGGTTGTGCGAGCTATTCTCGAACAAAGCATAATTGGGTTTGATTATCTTGATTACACTTCATCATAGCGAGGCTATCCTAGTAAAACCGCAATTATATCCACCAGCCACGGCACTTGTTGTCGGATCAACGACTGTTCCTAAGCTAGCACCAATTTTAGCAGCATTGTTCTATTCGAATTGAAGAATGAGCGTCTGTTTTTGAAGTACTGCAACGTTAAAAACTTAATTGTCACTTCATACGAAAGGAACTCAATCAATGATATCAGATGGTGACAACATCATGCTAATAACTGTTGTCTTTGAACACGGGCGGATCGGCACTGGAACTCGTATTATTCTGTCCAATCTCGTTAGATTTTGCAGATCAGGTGCTTGGAATACCACGTCAAGAGCAAAGTCCAAGGATCGGACTTCATAATCTGGGGCACTATAGCTGAAACTGGCCATGGCCCACAGCGAATGGTCCTTGTATTTTTACGATAACTAAATGGCATTTTGATATTCACCGTCACTGTATTCGTAGCGGAGAAACCGCTATGTATACTCCTATCCATACTCAGCCACAAATAGATACATATATTTCTGCGAGGAACATCCCATGTTGAGATACTATTCTATGGGGCTTGATCTTGGCAGACTTTGAGTGACTGATCATGACGGAATATTCCTGCTCCTAACCTAGAGCCTTAGCATAGGCCATTATTTCCGGGTAGACTTCCGCCCCCCCTAATGAAGAAACTTTTCCGACTTTTTACCAACATCAACAGAATAGCGGAACTCGGCATCACAGCAAATGTAGTATTCCACCTGAATTATCGCTCTTGGCCAACGTGTCTCTGCATGAAGAGGCTCGCATTTAAGAGGAGCTCCATTTGTGGCGATGGTCCAGAGACAAGTCCAATGCCATTGCAAGTGGTCACAGCAGTTTAGTTTAGCTTAGGCCTCTGGCGATCGAGACTATGACGTCTGTAGCCAAGCACGGAGGGTCCACGCATTAGCTAGGGCGAGATTGGGTGCCTCGGCATCGAACGATGGGTTCTAGAAAAGGCTGGGGCGTTGCTAATTATAGAGAGCTCGATTGCTGGCCGGGCCTGGGGTTGGGCTCCGGTCACGGGTGGCTTGCTTTGGGCTGCCGTTATCCCTAGCGTTGGCGTTGGCGTTGGCTGGCCTGACCCTTACAATTTTAGCCATGTCCAGCAACGCTTCTGGGGCCTGGACCTAGACCTGGGGGTTCTCGGCTCGACCGCCTGAGCTCTCAATGCATTATGGGGATGCAGTGGGTTTATTTCAGGGAGAGAATTGTTGAGTTGCATGGAGTGGACGGTGGAGATACCTCGTATTCTTTATTCTTCCGCGAGGCGAGCGACATGCCATGACCACCGCGGACCTTCGGACTGGGGCTGGGGCTTAGAGCCCGTTATTAGGGCAACTGCCGAAGACGATCTCTCAGCTATGACGATGCGAGATGAAGACGATCAAGGGGAGAGGATATGTATATAAGTCTATCGATGTTGTCTTCTTTTCGACATTATCTCACTCACTCATCACTCACACTCCCAACCTCAACCCAATCAACACTCAACCACACTCAACCACCACCACCACTACCACCACAACAACAACACAACAACCGCCATCATGCAGATAAAGGCTCTTCTCATCACTCCCCTCGTCGCCGCCGGCGTCGTCTCTGCTGCCCCCAAGGCCAGCAGCACTCCCAAGTCCACCTACTTCAACGGTCTCGCCCTCCGCTCCGCCAGCCCCATCCACTTCAGCTACATCCAGGCCAACAAGGAGTCCTTCGAGCTGAAGCTCAAGAAGCAGGAGGCCAGCTGCGACGACGGCAAGCACCACAACGACGTCACCTTCCAGCTCTACAACGACGAGCTCTGGCTCTACTCCGTCGGCTTCCCTGGCCAGCAGGCCTACGTCGACTTCTCCGGCATGGGTCAGGGCAAGTTCGGCTACACCACTGGTGCTCAGCCCATTCCCAAGAACGCCCAGCACAAGGGCTGGAAGATTGACAAGGACGGCATCCTCACCTGCGACGGAGCCAACTTCGTTGCCTGCCCCAACGGCGACGACCTCGAGAAGACCTCTTGGTCTGTCTGGGTCTACAACAGCATCGACAACCCCGGCGGTAACAAGAACTGCCTTCCCTTCTCCGTCAAGGCTGCCAAGGTTGAGAAGCCTGTTGGGTGCCTTTACTCCCAGGTCCAGCCCGGCGAGTAAATTCTGGTTGATGATGGAACGTTTCTAGCACATATTTTTGCATAACCTCTTGGTTGAGGTCATTGGGTTTAGAGGATGACAAGTTATTCATTATAATAGCGTTTTGATTGGGTCACAGAACCTGGATAGAGTACATACTCAATACTTATTTGCTTCTATCAATATTCGCTCATTTGCCATTGTACTGTATGTGATGTCTCGAAAGCCAACAACCATCGGTCTACTTTATAAGCCAGTCACCGATCGCTCTGCAACACTTCTGTCACTCCTTTGTGAAATAAAAACAATCCGATGTATGAATACGATTTGATCGTATTCCTTCATGGCAGTTGCTGCTCATGACAAAGAAAAACGAATAGCAAATCCTCAATCAGGGGACTTTGTCCAGCAAACTGTCAATGCATGAATGTCGATCATTGCGATCTGCTAACTGTAATTAGCGCAGCAAGACCCTGGAAGCACACCCTAACACCCCGGCGACACACGCCAAGATCTGTTGTCGCTGCACCAAGTTTAGAACCAACACAACACACAAAAGTGAATGACCGTCAGAATGAATATCTCTTGACCATCAAAAAATAGGCAAAAACACCAAAAAAAGGATCGCCTGTGTATCACAGGTGGCTGGATCTCTCCCGCCGGGAATTGAACCCGGGTCTCAAGCGTGACAAGCTTGCATACTGACCACTATACTACGGAAGATAGCAGGTTGAACCTGTTGTAGTGGGTTGTGGTAGGAGATCAGTGGAGGCAGTATATACGCGAAGTCTGTAGTCTGTAAAACTTGACCATATATCACCACTTTGGAAGAGCTGAACCTATTGACTAATTGTTACACAAACGACCATAAATTGAGTACTTACAAATTCGAAAATTCATAATCCGGAGCGCTTACAATCGGGAACAAATGTTGACAACCTGCACATATCCTCCTTACCTATCCAGCATCGTCAAACTCCTTTCTATCTTCACTTGTAACACCAGGAATTTTCTTTCAGTCGAGCAATCATGAACAGTGACGGCCACGGCGCCTCATCGGTAGCCCGAGTTATCGGAATCATCTAACTCCTCAAGCCCGACGATCTCACGCTAGCAAGTGACAGTTGCTTTCTGTGACTTGTCTTCCTGGTCACAGAACTATGGCGCACTCAGACCACGACATCACTCAACACATAAGCCTGCGCGTGCCGTCTGCTGTGAGCCATTCAAGGTCCGATACAGACCCCTCTACGCATGTGTATCAATACAGGTTTATTGAGCTATTCTATTTGCTCTTGATCTGGTTTCCACACGAGCTGTGCAAAGCTTCGTACGAGTTCAAAGATCCTCTGCTGACTTGCTTGACATCAAGATAGAAGCCAACAACCCCTGATGTCCCCATCCTCGAGAATATTCCGAATCACAGCCACGGAGAAGCTCATGTCGCCTGGGGCTAAGATGGAAACGCCGCATGCTCCCTGCCGTGTACACAATAGCCCCAACTGTCGCCCAAGGCCGACAACAATTACAATAGGAAGTGAACCAGCACTAAGCGCTGCAGGGGGTCAACGAATCCCGAGGATTCAGCTTCAGAAGAAAGCACCCTTTCGAGAATCTACATTACTAGATGAGTCATCTCGGTGGAACCGAAAGAAGCTATGCAGGCGAGGAGCCCCGAATTGGAGCCTGGGATATCTACCATTCTGGCTTCCCTCAGCAAGGTTTTCACGTACAACTAAAGTCAAGGTCAAAGACAAGTTCTGAGTCTGTCAAGGCAAGCCACCCGAGCTCAGCCTCCATCATGACAAGTTGCCTTCCGGTCTCAAGTCCATCGGGAGCACCAGAGTTAGAAGCCGCACAGATTAGTTGTTTCTTTATCAAAAAACCAGCAACTACATATTTCGAAGTCTAAGAACTTGCCAGCATGACTAAAGTTATCTACCAGCATGTCCTATCACAGTGAGAGCGACGAGATACCTCTTTGGACATGCAATCCACGAGTTACAGCTTAGAGGCTAACATAATATCAGCAGCTACAGACTTCTTTATGGCCTACAGCCGAAACGAAACGAAATTGTGCCGCTTCCCGAACAACCTCTTTTTCCGACCGTGTATCCTCAGCCGTTCTACAGAAGACCAATGGATAGTGATGTTTATTACATCGGCTTACGGACATCGACATCTTAACTAATTCCTTGAGTACAAGACCTTTTTAAGCGACAACTTGCAAACACGCCACACTTGTCCCTAACGATCGAAACCATCTTGAGACTATATAGGCGTACGGTTGAGCTACACCAAGACCGAGATATTCTGGGGTTAATAGCATCCATCATCGAGCTCCTATGTTTGGTAATGACTTGGTGCTGGTTCCGTCCCTGGAACCACATTGGCGACCCGACTTATGGCGGCACTGGCATTGCAGATAAGGGGCTGCCTCTTTTCACACCTTCTCGAGTCGTCTCATGGTTTTCGTCTCATGGTTTGAAGCAAGCCTAAAAAGAGAATGTCGGGGAGCATACGGCGCCAGAGCCTAACCAGTTGCTCCTACGACTAAAAAGAATTGGGAGACGAAGTCTTGTCTTGCACGTACGATTCATGACCAAGAATCACACCATCTGGCAATAGGTTGGATTGTCATGACGAAGGCGAATGCAAGTGATGTAAGACAGCGCAAAGAATAATGAACGAATATCGCGAGGTTTCGAGACTGATGCGGCCTGCTCGATTATAGAGTGATCTATGCGCAGGTGGCGTTCCGGAAAATCATATGGTTGGTAGATAGTACTACATCTGAACTGTATGAGTCGCAAGAATAAAGAAAGTTTATACAGAATCTCACGATATATCAACTCTCCATGAACCGCAATGGATGAACAGACTCGAGAGACCCCTCAAAAGATAAGAGAACTTGATTTCATATTCTTCTGTCTTACATAATGGAAGTCAGGTAACAAGGTAATGAATATGAGCCTCCAAGCGCGAACTACACTGGAAGAAGGACAACAGAGTTTATAACAAGATACCGTGTCCAGCACTTTGAGGTGGGTTGGGACATACTCGCTTTGATCTGGAAGCTCATTGTTACTGTTCTACATCACTGTCGCTATGGCTTCGTGATCCTTATAGATGTGGTGCATCCGAGTCATTCTGGGGGTGACGTGATCGAGAACTTGGACAGGGAAATACGGAAAAAGTCCAACGATAGAAATCTAACCTCAGGTACACGAGTTAGGTAACGGATTCGAAATATGAACAACGTGCTCTTGAAAGTTTGCTTGCATTCGGAATGTGTTCCGCGTGTTGGCTTGATATGTCTCGTTGAGGTATCATAAACTTTAACTATCAATCAACCCGAGGTAACACAGCCGTTTCTCTGCGAATTCGACGAATGTCACGCTCTGAACTACCGGCCATGTCAGATACAGCCACAGGAGGCACAATACAAGGTATATCTTGATCTCCACGCATTTGATCGTAACCCGAACCCTCCGGCACATCAGTGAGTCCCCCATCTTCAACTAACCCATCCACAATCTCCCCAGCACCGCCAGTGAAAAGTGCATCGAGAACCGACTGGTGTCGGCTCCCTTGCACCTCCTCAAGAGCACCTGTAGGCGTTCCGCTGTTATTCGAACCCCCGCCAGCACCAGTGAAAAGTGCATCGAGAACCCTGCGTGGGTTCTCGTGCATGTCACCAAGGGCACCCGTGAAGGGCACACCTTGGGTCCCGGGAGTTGGGTTGTGATCCGAACCCCCAGGCGCACCAGTGGAAAGTGCATCGAGAGCCCGGCGTGGGCCCCCCTGAAATCCCCGAAGGGTTTCTTCCAAGTCACCTCCACATACTGAAGGGCGGTTTCGATGCCGTGCCTTCCGAGTTCCCTGGAACGGGACGCCATAGAGGGTGAGAGCGCCGTCTGGTTGGACTTGGGGTTGGTTGCCGGGTGCTTGCACAGCTTCTTTGTGAGACTTGGTCTTAGTCACAGAGATTTGATCTCCACCACTGAGAGTATCGCTTCCCGTCCAAGAATGCAAGCCAAGTCGTGTGCGGTTGAAGAAACTTTGAAAAACTTGCTCAAACCGACTGCCAGGGTCGCCTTTGATAGCGGCCCAGGCAGTGTTTGTGTCCTCTATGAACTGTTCGTCGTAGTCATGAATGCAGCCTGACCAACACCAATTTGGCACCAAGTAGACGTAAAGAGTTATCGCCTCACTGGGAGAGAGGTAGCCATGGAGTCGACTATCTTGAGAGACTACTAGCCAGGCCCGATAGACTTCCTCGGAACGGAACTCGTAATACTCGAACTCCAGACGAGGTGAGTTGCTATGAGGATTGTGGTGGAACATGCGGAAGGGGATGTACCGATCAAAAGTTCTCTTCAGCTTTTTAGCCTCCCGGGTCATGCCTTGGTCTAAAGCATATGACAATGTGGCAAGCAAAAGCGGGAGGTTAAGCTCGTCTTCTTGGCCAATCAGTCCGTTGGGGGAGACGAGAACCTCAAGTAGAAGGGCAAAGACATCGCTGTGAGCTTCGGCAATGTGTGTTTGCAGCAGGTGCTTCTAGCCTGGCTGACTAGTAATAACATTGATGGGAATAGCAAAGGCTTTGTCTTGGGACTCGGGATGGTCTCGGCCGCGAGGCTCCGAGGACGATGCCAAAGATTCATGACGAGTAAAGCCATGTGTGAGAGGGTCGAGAGTCAAGGCCCGCCAATCTCCGTCCAAGAACTTTGGGCTGCAGCAGTCGCATGGCTCAAGCGTGCGATGTTTCGGCTGAGAGCTGTAGAAAGTCACAATTAGCGTCGTGGGTAGGAAGAAGCGTCTGTCGGATATACCTCAAAAATAATCCGGTTCTCAGATGGCTAGGAACCAGTGGCTGACTTTCAGGGAAGAAATCCTATTTCCATTGTTAGCTCACATTGCTGACATATGTTTGTGATGCCCCAGGCTGACAATCGAAGGGAGCATCTATTGTCAAAGTCAGGGATTGTAGTGAGACTTACTTGGCCGGGAAGCATCCAGGGTTGATCCTCAGTCCCTCGACCGTTTGACGCAGTGTTGCGAGCGGTAATGATAGCCGTTGGGATAAAATGCTGATCCTCGCGGGATGCTTCTCTTTCCAACTCCCCAAGGAAAGTCCCGAGCCCGATAGCATTGCTTGATTGGGACTGAACAGGAGAAAGAGCAGGCGCTGGAGTGTCCCAAAGGCTCTGCCTATCAAGAGGAAGCGGTGGGGGAATACGAACCAGAGCGGCGCGGGCTAGGAGATCTGGAAGAGAGGTACCTCGACGGAGGTGGAGGTGGTTGGCCCTGTCTAGGCTCTGGTCAGGAGAAGCCACGATTTCCGCATAGTGTTGGGGGCTTTGGCTTCTTTGGTCCCTTTGCCGGCCACGGCGACCTGCCATGCGTCCCCAGGCATCATGGAGCCGGTCAGAAAACCAACGTCGGGGCATTTCGTCTTGGAATTCAGAGCTTAGGATCCAGAGAAGCCAGGGATGTCTGAAAATCAAAGAAGGTTAGCTTGGCCAGTGAAAGATAGAAACAAGATCGGGAGGCATTAAGAAGGATAACAGCACAACGCTTAGGCAGCCGGACATTTGCAAGGAAGAGAGATGAATTTCAAAGTGTGCCAAGATTGAAAAAGCATGAAACGGACAATCTCTACTCAGGCGGTATTCAAGGTACCTAGGTAGACCAGCTGCAGGGGTGAAAGACAGTGAATCTGAGGTGCAGGTGAGGCTTCGTGCCGTTTGCATCTTGCTCTCGGGAGGAAGAACGTAGAAACACAATATGCTCAGATAGCCAGACGAAGGTGAAGGAGAATAATCAAGCAACGTACCTTTGGAGAAGAATCAAGCACCAGAGTGATTTTGCATGCAGGAGAAGAGCTTGAACGTGGAAGTGGCCAATCCCAGGGCTGTGAAGAACACGAGATCGTCAGCGAGTTGTTTTTGTATAGAAGATAACGAGCCCCGCAGGCGGAACAATGAAGCTGAGAAAGAGTGGTAGTACTTACCCATGCGAAGGCCCTTTCGTAGATGTGCACGAGAAGCGACTTGGGCGTGTTGGTGGTTTGTAGATTTCAAGTGTCAAGAAAGCACGGCAACGGAGAATCGCCCTGGGCTTGGATAGGGCTTGGGAGAGGGACCGCCCATGCGGATAGAAGGACGGGGCGGCCCAACTCCGCGGAGGAGAATGATCCCAGATATCCCGTCCGTGGCAAAGTAGATGCCAGTAGAGATGGCCAGGGAAATGTCGTGGGCCCAAAGTTGTGAGGTGAAGAAGAAGTGAGAGTGAAGATGGGAGAGGAGTGGGAAGGAAGAAAACTGTGTTTGGGGACGACTTGCCAGAAGGAAGTCGGGAGAGGTTTACCCGTCTAGCTTGTGCTTCGGCGTTAGATTTTAAGTAATGAACCTGCGGGAAAAGGGGTCCCAGCCCTCGCGTAATATCACAGCAAAATAATAGGAAATAATTTGGAAACAGAATGGTGAGTACCTTGTAGCCCAGTAACTCTAGCGTGATAATTTCAGGGGCGTCTACTGCTGGTATTGGGTAGATAATGGGGAGTGTTCCAGCTGGGAGAAGCGTGATGAGGTCATATGCATTCTCTGAGCTCTGCACCTCACAGGTACAAAGACAATATCACTGCCCAGGCACCCACTGTAACATACTGAAAGCGAAATCCGTGCCCCCTGTGAAGTCAGACTGCCAGCCAAGTGACAAATATCAAACTAACCTGCTGTCACACAATTTGGTGATACGCATTTCTTGCAAAATAGCAACCAGGCGTACAAAGAGTACGACAGGACGAAGGATTTATAGAATAGCAACTTCACAGATTACAAACATCACAGAAGATGCGTTTTGAGGGACAATTGATAATCGTACCAAGAAGAACTCCGATTGTAGCAAATTGTATATACACTTTTCCGCCTATAAAGGCCCGCCCTCCCACCCGGAAAAGAACCAGTCTGACCCCGACTGCCCCAAGAAAAAAAGTAGATTACGTGCGCCGCGTATGTAGTCGATCGACTACCGTTGGAAATTGTGAAATATGAACTTTGGACGGTTAGTTCCGTGAGGATATCAATCTGGACAAGCTGGACATACCTTGAAAAACGTGGACAAAAATTGAGTGGTTGGCCTCAAGACCACCGGGTCTTGAGGTTGGAGGAGGGTTGGTAAGCCAGCCTACTGGCTGGCGTTGAGGTTGAGTTGAGCCATCTGGCTCGGGAGTGGCTCAGGCTCCCCGGGCTGGGCCTCCGGGAGGTCGTTGATAGTTAGGCGGCGACGTCCCTAGCCGCGCTCCGCCTTCCTCTTCGCCGATTCGGCCCTCAACTTCTCCTTCTCGGCCGGGGTCATGTTGGCATATCGGCCAACGAAGTGCACCTTGGTGCGGATCCAGTCCTCGGTGCGTTCCATGTCCCACGTCCCGTTTCCCAGGAGGAGGTTGGACGGAGCGGCGATTCCGTACTCGGACGCATCGATGCCGTCAAGGACGATGGCGGACATGGCCTTAATTGTCTTGGATCGTCGTTGTTTAGCCGGGGTGGAGTCGTCTGCCAGGGGGACAAGCGACCTGATGTACTTCAGGAGCTTGTCTCTCTGTGACTTCTGGATGAATGATCGAACTCGGGCGTGGTACTCAGACTTTATCGCGAAAGTATTGAACGCCTTCTCCCTGATGTCATCGCGGGTTAAGGGGTTCTCGAAATACCGGCCTTTCTCGAGGAGGCGAGGCTTGAACTCCTGGACCCATTCTCGGTAGACAGGACGCGAGGCCATACGACGACGATCGTTAGCAGTGCCGAGGCCCGTCCCTTCCTCAAAGGTGCTTCTGCGAGGCAAAGAGAACATGGGACATTTGATGATGTACTCAAACATAGCGTCGGTGGTGGCAAAGGGGCGCCAGTATTCGGCAACGGGGAGTCCGAGGAACGTCAGGATGACATCAGGCTTGCTGGTAAGTAGGATCTTAGCTTTCTTACGGTTGATCTTTTCTCCTTCCTCCACTCGGATGTGAAGACCCTTGTCGTCCATGGTAAGACCATAGGGACGAATGATGGATCCGACGATTTGCCAAAAGTCGCCGTGTGACTCGAAGAAGCGCAAGTACTTAGCTTGCTTCTTGGAAATGCAATAGCGGACATCAACTTGGATGAAGACGCGGGGAGAATCTCGGATTGGGTTATCGTGAACAGGGCCCGAGGGGAGGGGAATGAAAGGGTTGTCAGTCAGGATCGACTTTGGGACAGTCCTTCTCTTGATTTTGAAAGTTCCATGTCCAGTAACAGCTGGAAGGGTAGCACCAGGCTCTGAAAAGGAACTATTGATCTGAGTTTATGGTTAGAAAACAGCAAACATGGTTAAGTCCTTGCATGATAATACCTTTTCAAGAGTTCCGCGGGTAGAGTTTGATGCGACGGAATCTCGGCCTGACTTGTCACGCTTGAACATTGTAGACAATGAAAAGGAACCTACTCATGTTAGCAGTGTGGTCAGAAAGAACAGATTGTCGAGAAGGAAATGTCCTTACGAGAAGACGAGTCGCCGGTTTTCAGTTTTCTCTTGATATAAGAGAGGGTTCCCCATTTGCCAGTCTCAGGAGTCGTTGCAGCAGAGGCTTGACTACGCTCTGAAGAGGTGATACTAACGCCATCAGAGTCGTTGGATGAGGGCTTCGTCTGTGAGCCCGTAGCTGTAGCGTCCTAAAACATGGTGTAAACTTAGCTCCTGGATAGGCAAGTGAGCATCGACCTACGGTTTGTTCGGTTGATTTTGAGTCCTCCGCGGCACTTGGCTCTGCGTCAGGACTAGAAGCTTCTTTGATGTAGAGAGCAGGATTTGAACCAAGAGGGTTAGGGTGTGGACCGAAGGGAGAAGGCAAGGTTGAATCCAGGGGAGGCTTTCGAGCAGTAGTGCTGAGAATAGGAACTGTAGGAGCATCGCCAGAAGGCTTGAACAGGTTTCCAGGAGTGATGGTAAGAGTAGAACGAGCAGAACGAGCAGAAGGGCCCGGAGGTGATGGAGGAGTGATGGAAACAATCGGTGGACGAAGAGTTGCGTTTCCTTTTGCCTGGGGAGGAGGGATATGCTCGGGCCATGGGATAGCGAAGTGAGCAGCGAAGTGACTGTCGCCACCTTCAATGATTCTGGATTCAGCGCCGAGGGCGTCAGAGATGGCATCAAGTACATTCTCCTTGAAGATGTCGATTCCGTTCATCTCGCAGACGAGGACATCGACGTCGCCGTGGTCTTCCTTTCCGGGACCTTCCATCGGAACATTAATCCAGTGGAATTTCTTACTCAGGCGTCGAATGACTGTGTTTTTGGCCTCTAGATATGCCGCGTGAGACATTCGAGGTGTCTCCAGAGGAGGATCCGCGTGAGCGAAGGCCTTGCCACCCATGATTGCTGTAGTGCAGCGGAGTGTGACTTTGTGATAGGGAAACAAGAGGAGCAGGAGATTAAATGTTTGGAAGATGGGAACAAAGGAGGATTGCAGAGGAAGCTTGCGATGTTCAAGGGTGAAGAGGAGAAGAGGAAAACAAGGATAAGTTTGCAGAGGATCACCTTGACGCGTGCTTGGTGAGCGCAAGGGGCAGCGAGCCCGATGAAGCAGGATAATTCTTCTTTGTGAACAGTGATGTATACGAGTTGGAAAGAAGAGAAGATAATGATGCTGATGATGATGATGTTTGCGTATATAATAAAAAGGAAATGATTGTTTACCACCACCCGAAAGATGTTGTGTTGAGTGATTGTTTTGATGGTGGGTTGGAGAGAGAGAGGGAGAGGAGATGAGACGAGAGCGGAGTGACTCAATGAGAGTGATGCAGCCCAGCCCAGCCCATGTCAGCTCAGCTCAGATGCGGGATGCACAGCTGCACGACCAAAGTGGGCTACAAAAATTTAGTACCGCCTGCTAGGGCCACCCACAAATTTCCCCTCAGCAACTAACACTTGTACTTATCGCTGCACCCAAGACACTCCAACACGACACGATATCTACGTTCTTCTCAAACAAACTTCAAAATCACTTCGACATGTTCTGGGACGCTTATTCTCACAGCATGCCCCACGCTGAGTGGTTCGGCGAGCTTTCCATGTGGCTCCTCCTTTTCCTCGCCCTTCGCTACGGCATCACCCTCCAGCGGGTTCCCAACCCAGATCGCCAGCGTGGAGCCAACGTCCGCCGACAGGATGGCGAGATCCAGTTCGAGATCATGTGGTGAGCGTCTTTAGTGAGTATCTAAACTTGTCCTGTTCTGCAAAGCTTAGCTGACTTTGGAATCGCAGCCGACGTCCCCCTGAGCGACGCTATCACCAAATACCACCCCGCGAACCACTGCCTTCGGTTGCTCTTTGCGCCGACTGAGTTCGGAAGGCTTTGTACTTGTTGGTGGCGCCTCTTGCGTTCGCATTACACGGGATGGTAAATGCTCTTTTTGAACTTTGCCTTGAGCGTGACTCGAGTGCCGACCAAAGTAAGACACTCTCCTTGCCTGCCTTCTCATCAAGGTTTTATTTACTAATTCATTCGAAACCAGATTATTTTCTTTCCAAAGCCTTCTACGCTGTTTGATGGTGTACCTAGGAGTAGCTGTGTAGCATCCAGCCATCTGGTCCTCGCCCAAGGAATCTGTTCGTACAAAACGATTGTGGAGGAATATGCATTAATCAAAGTTACTTGAGAACTAAAACAAGGGCTCTCCCACTCTCCCGTTCCTCCTACTCGCTGTGATTCTCCTAGTGAAAGTGGCGCCCCTGTTGTGACGCTCCAAGTTCAGTCTGGTGATGTGAAGTTGTGAACTCTCAACCAAAGATCTCAAATGCAAAAGATACATCTACCTACTCGCAACTTTGACATGATATCATAATTCATGACCTGTTGATACAACATTAATTCACAGCAAGAAGAAGATCTGAAGGATGGCTCATCTGACTACCAAAGGAAAGCGCGGGTAGGGCCGCCCTACACAGCCCCGACGGCTTCATATCATATAAGACTCAGTGGTCATCATCAAGAAGCTCTGGGTCGAATTTATATCTAGGGAGTGAACATCGCGTTTTGTATTATCTTCAGCATTACCTTACGGTTGGCAAGTATCTCTACAGCTAAGGTAGGTACCTACGTAAGGGTAAACTCTCCAGTGGACCTAGCTAGGACGTACAGGTAAGGTACGTAGACAGTGGTCAATTTTCAACACTCCCGTCCCCAAACGTCCCCCCTTGTGATGGCATACTGCCCATGTGCTCTAACAGTAACAAAATCCGATCTACTGTTAGAGTTGAAGTCTACCACTTTCTGGAATTTAACTAAAATTATCACAAAATTATCTTTGTTATCTACCATTTCCTTTCCTGACAGATTACTAGTACAACCAGCACCAAAGACGTAAACAGAACTTTAGAATTTGTTGTCATAATGTAACATATGACGTTGCACCTTAGTGAAAGTTGATAGAAATCGCTTGGCTTTGAGATTGACACTGAGCTTGAGACTCCATGAAAGTCTTAAATTCTCGATCTTCAAGGCTAAACCATGCATACAAGCCAGACGGGATAAGTGTTCAGAAATAGAAAGTCGTACAATGGGCATCATTCGTCGAGCCATAGATTATAACGCCACGCTGATGTTGCAAGTCCTGTTGTCCACCCTTTGCTCAGCTTTGGTTCGATACAACACAGGTCTCGCAGCTAGTCAACTATGCGTCAGGAGAAGCGGACTTCTGGTGTGGTGGCTGATCTGTAGTTGAAGTTCTTGGTTTCCGGCCGTATACAACGTAGCTGACAGACACTCGTTAGCTTGTGACTACATTCCAGAAACAGGGAAAAAGCAAGAACTTACAAAGGCACCCAACTATGCATGTTTGGGTTCAGTACCTCCTTTCGAGCCTTGGCCAGTAGTACCTGGAAGTAATTCGGATCGCCGTTGAGGATTTGCTCGTACCCACGAGCAAACACGTTCCCAATGGTATCTCGAAAATGCGAAAGCTCAAACGCCCCAATCTCCTTCAGATGCTTGTCCTTGGGCCAAGGATTCGTGGGTATCTTGAGGACGCGCTCGACGATATCCTCGAAGCCGGCATTTTCAAAGTGCTCCTTCCAACGAGTCGGTTCCCAGCCTGAACAGCCGATGCGCTGTGACATCTCAAAGTAGATCTTGCCCATCTCGATGTAAGCGGAATCGGGGGGTAGTGTACCGTCGTCGGACTTGAAGTCGGGAACTGAACCAGAGAGCTGGAAGTAAGCGCCGGGCTTGAGGTGATCGAAAGCCTGCTCCATCAGACGAGGCCAGTTGCGAATGGCCATGATGAGTTCTCGGCCATGGATGAGATCGAAAGTTCCCTCGCCCCAGAGCCAATCATCTTCAACATCGTCAATCTGGAGATGTCAGTAGGGTTCAATGTGTTGTACCAATGCAGTGAAATTCAAAAGCATGTCCACGGAGGTCGACTAACATACCTCGAAAACTAAGTTGGGCGGTATCACGTTAGGCTGAACCAGAGTTGTGTCGACGCCAATGACCTTGGCTGAAGGATATTGCTCGGCCATGTCGATCGCCCAAATGCCTGATCCAGTGCCAAGATCGAGGATCTTTTGCGGATGGTCGATAATAGGGGCCAAATAAAGCTCGTTGCCCATGAGCATCGTGAACTTGCAGTGCTGGAGATCATTGCGCTCAACCTATGAACTCTAATTAGTATTCGAGCTTTCTGAGATAAACAGCGCATTTAGTTTACCTCTAGATCATCACTAGGGATCCAAGCTTTGTGCAGGCCATAAACACCGTAAGTTCGTCCGTTCTCTTGAATGCCGCGCCGAATATCCGACGCAATGGACGTTAAATAGCTCGTGTTCGTTGATTCTGGGTAGAGCTCATCCTCGAGATCGTTGTCGTCAAAGATATCGGGTTCGATGCGACTTGAAGCTTGTGTGGGCGATGTCGACAGCGGTCTATCCACTAGCCCCTGTTCTTCTTGATCTCCGCGATCTGGGTCTCGGACCTGGTCTGATGTTACGTGGCCCGCTTTAGCCTCTCCCTCTCCGATCTCTCGGGTTGGGGAATGTTGATCTTGGAGCGGGGGTAGCATTGGAGATGTGATGAGACAGAAGTGATGTCTGAGTCGGTATGGCTCGCACAGATAGACACAAAGGTCTTGTTGCCGAAATATGTCAGATCCTGATATATATAAAAAATGGCCAAGATGCCATCATCAATCGTAATGTGAAAAGTGTTGGATCATCTTCAACCCCCTGTTTTTGGCACGGGACGCGGCCACTAGCCTTTTAGGGGAGCCGGGTATTTCGTTAGGCTAAACCTGTGAGAGTATGGCTAGGATTGGATGGTTCCACTCCAATGGAAGTGTCTTACCTTGGGTAGCCAGTTCCAGTCTCCTTTCGGACTGGTCCCGATCAGGGTGAAGGATTGCCCCTCTATCCTCAGCTCATTCATGTCCTTGCTTTGTTGGCTGCAGTGTTACCTTGGTACCAACAGATCAAACACAAACATCTGCAATCAGCATCCGTCACAATGGCACTCCCGAACAAGCAAGAGATCAATGATCTAGTCAGCAGCCTCAATGATGCCGCCAAGGCTTATTCCGATGCTCCAGACCTTAACGGTTACATGTCCAGGGTCCAGATCCTGGAAAAAGCAAGGTCACTCACAAATGCCCTCATTACGCCAGATCAGAAGCCCAACTACCACGGTCTCAATGTAAGCCGTGGTTCCGCTCCAGCTTCCTGAAAATGTCAGAAAGAGTGCAGCTGCTCACGCTTTTCTTAGATTGCCGAATTGGTTGCTATACGAACGTTTATGAAGCTTAAGGTCCTCGACGCCATTCCCGTCACCGGGTCCATATCCCTTCAAGATCTCTCTCGAGCCACTGGCGTCCAAGACTCTCTTCTAGGTAGGGATCCTTTTAACTATTGGCCGGTAAACTCAAAGCTGAATTTCCAATCACCTCAGAGCGGATGGGCCGTGTGTTAGGTCAGTCCCCTTGCCAAGAGCGCTGGTCACCATAGTCTCACATCCTCCCGCAGTTGCTTCCGGCTTCCTGGACCAAACAGAGCCCGATGGTGGCAAGTATAGGCACACCAAATTCTCCTTGGCTTACATCCTCGATAAGCCGGCGCCGGGCCACTTGTTCCTGGCAATGTAAGTTTGACCGCTGAGTGGCGTTGAGGCTTATCTAACGTCTCTCAGGTACGACGAATGGTTCAAACATATGCACAACTTCGACGACTATCTTGTTTCGAAAGGGAAATACGAGGAGCCTCAAGACCCCCTATATAACCCATACACTGCTTACTGGAAGCAAGAAGGAACGCCAGTATGGAGCATCATGATGCAGAACCCCGAGAGATTTCAAACTTTCCAGACAGGCATGGCCGGCATCGATATCGCAATCCCGGTTACTGGTCACTTTGATTTCAGTACCCTGAAGAACGACTCCCAAGATACAGACAACGCTACCATAGAGCTGGTGGACGTCGGCGGTGGTGAAGGGACGGTGCTTAACAAGATTCTCGAAGCCCATCCTGAGTTGTCACCCCGGAATTGCATGCTTCAGGAACGACCGGAAGTCATACAGCTTGCGAAGTCGAAGAAGACGCTCCCGGGCGACGTTCAGCTTGTTGAGCATGATTTTATGACGGAGCAGCCCGTAAAAGGTACGCTATTCCCGCTGAATCACAAAAACCACGACTAACACAAAGTTCAGGGGCAAGGGCTTACTTTATGCGCATGATCCTACACGACTACGCAGATGCCGTTGGAATACAAATCCTCACTCGCCTCGCCGAAGCCATGAAGCCCTACTCTCGAGTTCTTATTTGCGAAATGGTCCTCGCTCCTCGAGTAGGAGAAGCTGATTTTGCTTCCGCTGTTCTTGATCAGGCTGTTATGACGATGGGCGGAAAGGAGCGTACCGAAGCAGGCTTCCAGAAGATTTTCGATGCTTCTGGACTCGAACTGGTTAAGACTTGGCGTGTGCCTGGTGTTCCTGGTGGCTGCGTTGAAGCGAGGTTGAAGGGCCAGGCTTAGACTGGAAGGTTAGGACGGATTAAGGTAAAGAAACAAGTACAGTGCAACCGATCATGTGAAGTTTCACCCAGCCATGCACGATATATTATATGGTATGATGATGTTCGTGTAATTATGAACCATCCTTCCCGAAGAAAAGCTTGTATCGATCTCTTGTCCCTTGGTCCAGCCCCTGAATCTTGCAACCGCAGATAGCAAGTAAGGCGCGCGATGCAAGCATCAGCTGTCAGGTCTACCAACTCAAAATAACACTCTCATAAACACAGTTCAGCCTAACGCACCATGCTGACACCGAAAGCCATTGTTGAGCAGCTAGGAAGCTGGTG